ACACACACACACACACACACACACACACACACACACACACACACACACACACACACACACACACACACACACACACACACACACACATTTCAATTTCTTTCAGTGGCATGTTCCTGTTTTTCCTTAAGGATCCTGCTCTGTGGTGAGTGTTGTCTATCCAAGTATACTTAATGTATATCAAATCTGCAATTTACTGCAATGATAAGATCATAAAATACAATTGCCCTGTGGCCAATAATGCACACTCTTGAGATGGTGTGTTCCAAAAGGTTACTAGTACATTTTTCCCTTGTGATATATTTTCTTCATTATTATGCCTGTTCTGGACCATACTCACCCATGGAATTGCATGGGTAAAGCAGAAGGGGATACCTGCCCATTCCTGCCATTCCTTTAATTGCATAAATTCAGGGAGTGTCTACTTTTCAAAATGGGGTTTTTAGTGGTCAACCATAGCACTGTTTATGTTGGCATTCCTCCGTACTCTCCATCGTATTTTATCAAAATTTATTCTTCTAGTGGAGTATGGGATTTCTGAGCTGCTGGGGTGGTGGACCATGGAGGTATCATCCTGAATGTGGCCACATGATAATACACAAAAACTAATATCTATTCAGTAGAGAGTAAAGCAGTGGTGTTCTACTGATGTAGATGGCGTGTGCTCCATTTCTGTTTGGTGGGCTTCAAGGGTCGATGATGCGCACAGTTTGTGTGGTTCTATTCGAAGAGGGGTGAGGGGGTCTTACCTTTATCAATATATTTTTCATTGACCTCTAACATGTTACTTGAAATTAATGTGATCGAGTTGTGAACCCTTATTAGAAACTTATGAATAGCTAAGCTGTCATTGTTACACCAAATTCATGTATAATACAAATATCAACCTTTTTTTTTCTTACTGTACTTTTAACTTTTATGACTTCAAGTGCTAAAAATGTTGTATAAAAAAAACAAACTGTTCATCAGTTTAGTGTATAATTTGCTATTTACAATTCATATGCAGTGTCTTTCCAGTATCATATAATTCTATAATTTTTTTTCATTGCTCAGAAGGAAAACAGTGTACAATAAAGTGTACAGTGCTGACATCTGTTATGCAACTTGCATGTTTCATGTAGTTATTATTTATTATTAAAAAAATCTAAAGAATTGTATTTTACAGGTCAGAGAGATGGTAGAAAAACAAGCAGGGAAATCCTTTGCCGAATTTACACCAGTTGGCTACAAAAGTCAGATTGTGAATGGAGTGAACTATTTTATCAAGGTAAAACTTTTGTTGCATAATATCTGTGCTGTATATATATTGTAATGCAGTCCTTCCTCTTTGATATACTAACAGTTTAGATAATGTGTATTTACATTATATATAATGCTTTTGTGTGAGATCTGTATAGCATGAAAACAGGTTTTTTTAGCATTAATGTATTATCATGGATGTAAAAAAAAACACGTTTTCAGATGTACTGGGATGAGAAATGTTTTATCACCACGGTGACTAAATTTTTTAGACGATTGTAATAACTAGAGCACCACCTACAAAATAAATCAGGCTACATATATGATAGATTGGTATTCCTGATGTATTGAAAATAATATAATTTAATTTCAAGTAATGCATGGAAACAAATCTCGGGTCAGGTTATTTAATGTACGTATATGACAACATCACATTAACCACATGGCAGTCTGAAATTCAGAACACCTTTGTACCTGAGTGGAAAGTTCAAGTCATTTCATGCAAACATAATTGTTTCATCTCGTATCAATAAAATTGTGCATAAAAAAAATAAATAATTATGTGCCTAGTGAAAATTAAAGCTGAATAGTTTGGCATTCTGTTTTATAAGTAGGTAGTTTAGTCATGGATATGTGTTTATACATCAGGCTTACAATGGATAAGCCTGTCATTGATAAATACAATACCAATTATACATCAGTTTGTGTAGCAATTAATATTTAATAACTTTAAAGAAAAATTGGAATGGGTATCATTTATATAATGTTTAATGATTAGATGTACAGTTGGATTTTACAGACATACATATATTTCATCCAACTAGAACTGTACTAGCCCCAAGTGGGTTTATATGGAACTCACAGTAGTATCCTCAACTCAAAACTTAGTAGTTCTGGCAATCAGGATAGTGTATTTTTTACACAACTGATTATCTAAGTATATACAAAATTGTAAGGGCACATTTTTTTTAAACAGTTTTAGAAAAATATATTTTGTAGGATGAACATTATTAGGAAACCTCTTTCTTATATAATTTTGATCAATGTATTTAAGAACTAATATTATTAATTAGAAATGAAATGTAAATTTGACAATTATATTTTTAATGAGTATATTATTTTACATGTCTGTAATATTGTGCAATATTTCAAAAAGTTTGTATTTACAATTTAATGTCAACTTGTACAATTTAGGTGAAGGTTTCAGAAGCTGACCATTTGCATGTCAGAGCTCACAAGTCCTTTCAAGGAGAAGTAACTCTTGCAGGCTATCAAGAAGGAAAAGCTCATGATGATGAAATTGAATATTTCTGAAGAAGCTTGAATTGTGATATTACAAAATTTTCATGTGGTCTATAGCCAGATGATATTCTTGTATTATTATAATTTTAATAACTGAAGCACTTTATCACTCAGATTAGAAATAATGAATTATTCTCTATTTTACTGCATATAATATGCTAATAATTGAAGTATTACAAAACTGAAATCGTTAAAGCAACAATTTAAATATAGTTAATACATTACTAATATTTTGATAACTTGTATCACATTAAGATGATTATTATTAAACAAATTTCACTTCTTATCACTAGTTATATTTTATTAACTGAAGCACTTGCATGACTTGGATAGTTAAAGCAACTGTTGAACTATATTTAGTGTTACTCGTTGTCATATTATAACTTAAGCAATTTCTCACAAACATTGTGGCTGATGAATCATGTATAGTTTGATTATATTTTTATTACTAAAACTCCTATACACGAGGATTTGTAACATTCAAGTTTACCTGTATCTAATATATGTATCTAAAGAATAACATTGGAACATTTATAGATCATTGTTAATTAATATAATGGATGGGACTTGACAACCTTTCTCTCTCTCTCTCTTCATATATATATCACATGAAAATGTTTTAGGTTTGACAAGCACAGAGTATGGCATAATATAATACTGCTATTGAGAATAGACTGTGAAACCTAATGTGGGAATTTTGTGTTCTAATCAATTTTGTTTTTATTACATAGTTCATTTTTTGTATTAATTCAACAGCAGTCATCTTCTAACTTTGCAGCAATAAAGAAAAAAGATGAAACACTTCAGTTATTAATTTTTAATGTGAAACCTCACAATATCACGTATAATGAAATGTCTTATATGTCAATATGCAGATATATATTGATACATAAGCCATATTAGTTCTATGTATTTCTAAGCATATATATATATATATATATATATATATATATAAAAATTACCCAAACAATATTTTGTTAAATGTTTTGGCCTTTTTTTGTTATTAAAAATCAAAACCATGTATGTGTTTTATTTTTGTGATTGAAAATCCATTTACTAACATTTTTCATCATTTTCTGATATTAATATTTGGAAGTTTCTTGTTTTTGTAATGAAAAAAATTGTTACATAAAAGTAACTAGTTTCTGGAATTAAATTACTGTATATGTACTACGTAAAAAAAATAAAGTAATGTATTCAGTTTTAAAATACCTTTAAAGGTAACAAATCTCGTTCATTAATACTGCTTTATTACTGAGTTTGTACTTTAAAAAAAATGAAAGGACATATGAAACAAGCCACTGAGCAAAATTATATGTATAGTTATCTTTATACAGTATAAACAAAAAAAAATTAATCCCAAGAATAAGAATTCTCATCTGCCAAACAAACATCTGAAGTTATTAGAAACTTTGACCTGACAGTACAAGCAAAATATTTAACATTCACAAGGATTCATTGTCTTAAAAATATTTTGTTCATTACTATTAAATATTGATCATTTAAACTTCTACTGAATAGGAAGATAATGAATCTCTTCATCAGTTCATCTTTAGGTAACTATTTAATTATGCTTAAATTTTTCTCTCAAGACTTTTTATTCTCATGATGTTCATGTTAATAGTTCTGCTGCCTTTTTTGTTTTTCTTGGATTAACAATTTGACTCAAAAATTGAATGTAAGTATTGGGGTAATATCTTAAATTGAAGGATGGTAGTTCAAAATATTGAGCTCTTGGATGATATAAAGAAAGGCTTTTGGAATCATCCAAATAATAAGAAAGAGCATGTTTATAATACAAGTATATGTTTAAGAAGACAACATAAATATCTGAAAGATGTGTTAAGAAAAATTCATAAATATTAGAGTTTGCTAACGAGAAAACTTCCTCCATAAGAAGATTAAAAAAATAATTTTGCCTTCTCCATTTTATGTGTATCAAAATAATGCCCATTATAAAAAGTTAGTTTTTAACAACTCCATTGATTTGAAACTATATTTCGAAAATGTCATTTGTGAGACCTGTGTTTACTATATAGTGAAATTATTTTTATCAAAGTATAACTTCCATAGTTTCTTTTCTAATAAATTGAAATTTTATTTGGTGAGAAGTTAGATGTTAAAGGTTAAATTAACGTTTGAAATGTCATGAAATGACATTAGAAAGCCAGAAAGGCTTGTATTCCTCTTTGCAAAAATCATTTATTTTTAATGGTATTAAAAAACAACAACTTGCATTGAAGGATACTTTTCAAAGGTTTGTACAGCAACAGTAGCAACATCACTTTGTAATATTCAAATATACTGGTATCCAACAGAAGTTTAAAGTATCTTGCAAAAACACATATTCCAGAATTGTACTCCAGAGAATATTTTTGAACTTGGAAAAGAAAACAAACAAGTACAGATGAACTTATAAAATTTTCATTTCATACAATTATTTTCTTATAAGTCTTAACCTACTGGTCAGCTTCTTAATCTTTTTTTATTCAAACTGGTTGCTGGGGTGGAAATGTTCTCTACACAAGTTTACACATTAAAAGGACAACCATAATTATATTGCACTTCCACTTTCAAATTCCAACAGGTCCAAGTACAGTTGATATCTCATAATAATAATAATAATAATAAGCTGCAAACCTCATCAACTGTCCTAAATAACTTATAGGACACAAAACCCTAACCCATGCCAACTTGTACAAGTGTCTGTGTTATCCCCTGGGATGAGTTTGCCCCTAACCCCTTTCCTCCAAAAAGTGAACTGAGACATAGGACCAAAGTGATACAAAGTTTTAGCTGTTGCTGTATGTAACCTTACATTAAAAATATTAGTATGCTTAAAACCTCACAAAATCCAGTTAATGAGTATGTCATAACTACATGCAAAATTCCTGAAAACGTAGATATATTCTAAACTATTTGTATAGTGTTTTTACTTGCCATTAGTAAACCTATATTTATACAGGATTTAAGGAATATGTAGCATTGATGCTATTATTTTATTCTGAATTCTTTGGTAGACAAGGTGACTTTAATTTTATCATAGATATTGTCAATAGATCTGCTTTTAACTTTTTGGTTCTGTAGTTATCATCACTAATTGTTTTAGTTGTTATACTTTGTGACACAAGTGAACTAAATTCTGGTACAGCCTAACATCAGCCAGATTGCAGCAACTGATACATGGCTAGGGAACGCACTATTTGGAAGAGTGGATTTTCCCATGCCGTTAACTTTACCTGTGAATTCTACCTGCCTTCTCTCTTCCAGTTTTCCACAAGTCCACAACCAAAAGTTGTTGATGAAGGATAAAGTCCACAGCTGACCTGCAAATTTCACCCATTACTCACCATTTCATTATAAACCATGCCAAATCCATGTCAAATTTTTAGTAAACTATGATGTTCCTGGTTCTTAGGAATAATGTAGCACACAAGTATACTACACCCCTGCATAATAAAAGGTTTGAATATTTGGTTGAATGGAAAATTGTCATGGAACAAGTGCTGATAAGAAGAAACACCTTTGAACACAACTAAACCTATTTTACGTTCCACAGTTCTCTTGCATATTTTCCAGGTTGAAAAGATGAAATGAAAGTAAAATAAACTTGACAGGAAAAATGAAATTAAAATGCAGTAATACATGATTAGCACTTAAAATAATAGATCTACATTGTACATAAAAAAGAAGTGCTTTACAGCACATCTTGGCCATATCCCAAAAGAAGTTAATCTCTATAAAAGTACCAAAACTATTGCCATAATCTTCATTCTCTGTATCTGACCAGTCAAAAATAGGATTTGCTCTATCGTATGCACTATTTTTGAAACGTACATATGATCATACCAGTTTGCAAATCGCCCCTCCCCTAGTGGCACAGGGGTATGTCTGCGGACTTAAAACGCTATAAACCGGGTTTCGATACCCGTGGTGGACAGAGCACAGATAGCCCATTGTGTAGCTTTGTGCTTAACTTCAAACAAGTTTGCAAATCAGCAATAACTTTGTTTGGTAAGATTTATTAAAAACGTAAATAATTGGGTGAAATAAAGAGGGAAATAAAAATTTATTTTACATTTAAAAGTTTAAAAATAAAGTCAAAGATGGAAAGAACTGGTCAGATAAAATAGTGAACCAGAGTGCTATGGAAGGGATTGGTTGACTGCAAAACAATGACACAGATCTCTAGGTTAACTGCAGTTTTGATCACTCAGCGATAGCAGTTGTTTATGTAATAGTATATCATTTGCATTTAAAAAATTATATTATATATATGTATACGCACATGCGTTTCTTTAATAACAAAATATTATATCAGTGTGTTCCAAACTTTATATAGCAACGCCCCCTTTCACTTCAAAATCAATTTTGCAAGTGATAACGGCAAAATCAACATTTTCTTTACTTATTTTTAATGAAAAATCATTGTAAGGAGTGAGTAAATACGATGCAAAAAAAGCTTTGAGAGCAAAATTATAGTTTTGTTAGGTTCTCGTTGTTTCCAACTCTTCTGTCGTTATTTTTGGACTCTTCCGCCAAAAGCCCCACCCCCAGTAGGATGCACTCTACAGTTTGTAAAACATTGGCTTACTTGATTTATTCTTATTTCTGTAGTATTTATAATTTCTTATAGCAGACAATGTATTCTATAATTTAATACTTTTATTTTTATATAACTTAGATTTTGATACTTCACTATTATTCACGGGGATGCTTTGGTTATAGGTAGGACACTTTCAACTCTCTACATATTGGATTTGAATCTCGACAAGGTGAAAAACTTGCGCATGCTCACCATTTCGAATATCACTATGTAAATTGGATAGATGATTATTTAAGTTATTTTTATGTTTTTTTGTTGTTTTCATATGTATGTGACTAGTTATTTTCGGTCAACTTGCCAATGTTCTATGCTTCAGAATTGTTTATGAATGCTGCACGCATATACATCACACGTTACTTTGATTTAGATATGACAAATTCAAAGCCACCTAGAATGCACGAGATTGCAGGATTTTGCAATCAACTTTTATTTTGGGCCGGGAATACACGGTAGATCAAACAAATAGGGACCAAATATATCCCTTGGCGCCACGGATTTCAGCTGCGAAAACATGCCAGTAAATTAGAATCTGCAAATTGTTCATATAAAACTTGATTAATTCTCTGTAAACCCATTAAGGAATGCCATTAACAAATATGTTTAATTACTATTCAGCTGAAATACCACTTAATATTTGTGTTTATTACACTGGCTAAACCCAACAGTGAAAATTACCTCTACTCCTACACTGGCAAGCCTTGGTAAACCAGCAATGAAAAACTGGAACATCTTCACGATGTCTCAGTCTTCTTCCTTAATTTCTTTTCTCATTAATACTTTAATACACACATAAAACCTATGTTGGAGCTAACGACCTGTTGCGTCAGCAAGGTCACATGACTAGTGTGACGCCACGTTTCTAGAACTATCTTGTTCCTTCATGAATGCCCTAGCATTTACTAGATAGGGTAATCTGGTATATATATAAGAGGGTGACAACGTGACGCAGTAATGTGTGTGTAGACAGTGAGTAATTGGTCTGCAGTCAGAAGTATT